AGAAGCTGCCCCTCCAGGATGCCGTCTCCCAGGGCCTGATCGACCAGGATATGGCCACCAGGCTGAAACCTGCTCAGAAAGCCTTCCTCGGCTTTGAAGGAGTGAAGGGAAAGAAAAAGATGTCGGCGGCAGAGGCAGTGAAAGAAAAGTGGCTCCCCTATGAGGCCGGCCAGCGCTTCCTGGAGTTCCAGTTCCTCACGGGGGGCCTGATTGACCCCGAGGTGCAAGGGAGGATAAGCATGGAAGAAGCCATCAGAAAGGGGTACATCGACGGCCGGGCAGCGCAGAGGCTGCAAGACCCCAGCAGCTACGGCAAGATCCTGACCTGCCCCAAAACCAAGTTGAAAATATCCTATAAGGATGCCATGAATCGCTCCATGGTGGAAGACATCACCGGCCTGCACCTTCTGGAGGCCGCCTCGGTCTCCTCCAAGGGCCTGCCCAGCCCTTATAACATGTCTTCTGCCCCAGGCTCCCGCTCCGGCTCCCGCTCTGGCTCCCGCTCCGGTTCCCGCAGTGGGTCCCGGAGAGGAAGCTTCGACGCAACGGGGAATTCTTCCTACACCTACTCCTACTCCATTAGCAACAGCTCTGTTGGGCACTAGTAGTCGGTTGGAAATGGTTGCTAGACCTTGGCTTTCATTTATATGAATTTTCACTTTACTAAATAATAGAAAAAGAAAACCTTGTGCTTGTAGGATAGTGATAGAACTTTCTAGGTTTAAGAAAACGTAGCCATGGGGGGAATCAAATGGTAAAGGCTGTTCTGGCTTTTTGTCTTCTTAGCTTACCTGAACCAATGTCATACACTGGATGTAGCGTATAGGAAGTAGTAATCAGTTGTAAGGAAAACACAAATTGAATCTAGAGTTTGTCTCTTCTCTTCTGTCTTTAGATTTTTGAGTGATGCTTCTTGAACTTCTTATGGCCTATAATCCAGATTTCTGTTCTTGGAGATAAAAATTAAATTGACCTTGTAGTCATCAGTCTGCGTCTCATCTAAATATTTCCATTTTCTATATGAGGAGAAAATTACCCTATCCCCCCGCTCCCCCCCAACACAAAAAGAATCCCCCTCAAACCCAAGCATTTGGGAATGCGTCTCCTTGGATTGCATGACCCATATACTCTTAAGTGTACCTGTTTGGTTTGGTATTAATTTGACTGTATGTGCATATGATAGTAGCAATCTTTGCTGTTCTTTAGCCAAAGTTTTCTGTTTATTTTGCTTGTCATTTTCTATGTACTTTCAAAGGTGTCTTTATGAAGTTTGCTATTCTGGCAATAAAGTTTTAGACGTTTGAAGTTTTTGCGTTTTGATTTAATAATATGTTCATACACACAAGGGCATTTAGCAGAAGCTTTTTATTGTAAAATGTGTCTGAAACTGTTTACTAAACATCTACTAAGAAAGACCGTTAAAAAACTGTTCCAGTTCTGAATTCTTGTTGGAAGTTGGTCTTCTGAAGGTAGTTTTTTCAACATTTATGTACCAGGTAGAGTCCTTGAAAGAAGCCTGTGTAAGGAGGCCAGGCAAGAGGTCAATACCCACTTCTGGCTTATTCTGGACAGTGAATAGCATAGGGAGAAGTCACTGTCATACCCTTTAAAAAACATGAAGTGGCTAAGATTCCATTTTGCGTAGCCTTAAACTACATGGTTGCATTTTTGTCCCCAAAGAGGAGGGAATTGACCTTGAATCTATGAAACTGATTCCTGAAGAGTTCTTGGTTCTCTGTTGAAGGACAACGAAATATAAGCCTATTCTTTGGATCAAAGAAAACTTTTGAAATTAGGACATTTGTTATTAAATTAATAATACTTTACTGAATGCCTGGTATGTCTAGTATTGGGCTGGGTACAGTGAGGCTTCAGTAGAGTTTATAAGACCCTGACTTCAAGGCACGTACAGTCTGGATGGGTACAGAAGACACATGTAAAACAGTGAGTGGGACAACTTTCATATATCAGAAGCATATATTAATACAATCAGACACATTTGATGGTACAGTAGAAACTAGGAAGACAAATGAATTGCTAATTGTGTAGAACAAAAACGATCATACTCTAGATAATCCTTAACTTATTGGTGGGGGGGGGCTTTTGGTACTTAGGGTGAAAACAGCACTCGTTTCTTCCTTACCTCGCCTCTCTTTTTCTTCCTCTTGGCCCCCTCCCAACTTGGAGGATTTGTTATTAATTTCATTCACTGAATATTGAGTTCTGTGTGCCACACATGGTCCAGGAGCTGTGGATCTAATGGGAGAAGTACCTGGTACAAAAATAGCCCTTGTAGTTTAAAAGGAAGGAAAGTGCGTGGGGAATGCTATGTTGAAGGAAGTGAAGGAGGATCCTTACACCAGAGCTGGGGGGCTGCATTAGCTCGGGCTGCTGTGACGAGATGGCACAGACCCGGTGGCTTAAACAAACATTGATTTTCTTATAGTTCTGGAGGTCAGAAGTCCAAGGTCAAGGTAGATGCCACCAGGGTTGATTTCTGGTGGAGCTCTCTTCCGGGCTAACAGGCAGTGAAGGAGCTCTGGCATCTCTGCCTCAACTTAGAAGGACACTAGTTCTGTCACATGAGGGCCCCACCCTTATGACCTCATTTAACCTTAATTACCTCTCCAAATATAGTCACATTGGGGGTTTGGACTTTGAATTTTGGAGGGGACAGAATTCAGCCCAGAATGGAGGCCTAACCTAGCACGGGGGTCAGGAGACCTCTTTAGGAAAGTGGTGATTGGACAGATGAACATGAATCAATGGAAAGGAGTTCTCAGGTTGGTATGGTACAACCCAAGCTGCTGCCAGAGTTGTCATTAAGCTGTGAGATGAGAGAGCTGGATCCTGGAGAGAGGGCATACTTGACCTGGGCTGAGTTTTGATCTGGTTCACGTATACTGTACATCCACAGAAAAGGGAACTGTATCTGTAAATTTTCAACAACAGTCATCACTTCACACCCAAAAATAGACTCACATTTTCCAGGAGGCTTGGCAAACTATGTAATTGCAAACAAAAAGTAAGGATGCTGTGGGCAGACTATGAATAGACTGCTTCTCGCCACACATCCACTTGTAGCTACTGGCCTGTTTCCATATTATCACCTTTGTGTGTGTGTGTGTGTGTGTGTGTGTGTGTGTGTGTGTGTGTGTGAGAACTGTGCTATTTGCCTTTGAGAATAGTTGTTCACAAAAGTATACTCCACTGTATACTGCCTGATGGAAGCAAGTGAAAAGGAAAGCAAAGATTTGGCATCAGGCTTGAAAAAAAAAAACAACAACATAAGAGGGATTAGATTCTGGTAGTTAAAACCATTTGGGGAAACCAAGAGGGCTGGTTCCAGGTCTTGGGTAGGAAATGTACAGAGTAAACTTGGGTTAATCAAAGCAGGGAGGTACTTGAGGACTAACAGGGATGTGTCAAAGAGACACAGGTGGTTATAGTGGTTTCCACTGGTCAAACTTGGGACCATTTGAGCATCAACAAGAATTATGATGGTTAAAAAAAAAAATTAAGTCCAAGATACAGGATGGAAATGGACATTGATTATTAATGGGCTGAATCCATATCACAAATACTCATAGTCTTTGGTAAATGCCTCTTGCATTGTTCACTTGGTGTTGACAGCATCATTATGGCTATGTCAAATACCAATGATCTTACTATTCAGAAGAAGTCCATGGAACCATGGAAAAATTTTTATTATTGATTTGATCCAATTCAATTTTCTCAAAAATATCAGTATTTTGTATTCACTTTATAATTTCTGCAAACACATTTTCTGCTTATAAAACAAGAATTATGATTGTAATGGAGTATGTAATAACGAATTTAAAAACCTTTAATAATGATTTTTATAAAACCAAACCGTGATTCCATAGTGAAACAAACAATAGAAAAAGGCGTGGTAAGAATGGCAGCTAATAAACGTGGGAGCATGACAGTTACAGAATCATCGGGTACGTAATCAGTAATGTAATCACAGATTCAGTGAAGGATTGTGTGAGTTTGCTGGGAACAGGACGTTCACATGGCCTCAAAGTAGCATCCCTCAGATTACTTACCAAATACCAAGAGGAAAATGTACAGTTACAATGGAGCCATGCAGTCACTGTCTTTACGGAGTGATCAAATTTAGCATTACTGACAGCAGGAGAATCTAAGATATGTGTCCTCTATGAGGTGTGATAAAGAGGTACACACGTCTTGCAAAAAAATGCTTACACTGAATCTAGTCGTAAGGGGAAGATCTAACAAGTCCAGAAGGAGGAACATTCTACCAGACAACTGGCGGGGAGTCGGGACAAAATTCAATGACAAGTTACAGAGGAGAGTGGAGGAGACTGTTCTGCATTAAAAGAGCCGATTATAGCTCATGGGTTGAAAAAAATAATAAGACGGCTATCAAAGGAATTTCGGGGGCAGCTCGGGAAATTTGAATACGAATTATGTTAGATGATACTATGAAATCATTAATTTTCTAGGTTTGATCATATATTGTGCTTATGTCGGGCTATGTCCTTATTCTTAGGAGATGCATACAGACGTCTGTGGGGGTGACGTATCCGCGACTTTCAAATAATTCGTCAAAAAATCAGTGTGCGGGTCTGTGTGTATGGAGACGGTGGGAGAGAGGCCAAATGTTAAGCAGTTAATGAACTGGAGGACGGCTACGCGAATGCTCACTGTACTACTCTTTAAACTTTTCTGTAGACATAAGCCTTTTTTTTTTTTTTTTTTTTAAATTGGGGCGGGGAACGCCGTTCAGGGAAGGCCAAGTGCAGAGGCATCCACTAGCCTTACGAAGGTAGCGACGTCGGGAAGGGACGGAAGAGACTTCTCAGAACAGCTTCCGCCCTTCCCGGGGCCCTTCCCTGTTGGCGGAGCCAGTCACGTGGCTGTGTGGCCCCGCCCACCGCTCCCAGAGGCCCGCGCGCGCCGCCGGCAGTTGGGTCGCTCCTTCCGGGCCGGCAGGCGGGTTAGCGGCCGTGCTGCGGCCATGGAGGGCGATCCTCCCCCGGTGGAGGAGCGGCGGCGGCTGCGGGAGGAGCTGAGCGAGTTCGTGGAGAGCTGCTGCCGGACGCTGGAGGAGGTGACGGCGTCGCTGGGCTGGAGCCTGGACCGGCTGGACCCCGGGGAGGAGGAGGCGGCCGAGGTGAGGGGCGCGGGGTCCTTCCGGGGGCCCTCAGCCTGCGGAGCCCCGGGCGGCGGGCGCGGCCCCGCGTCTGCAGGGCCGTGGGAGGCGCGGGATCCAGCCTGCAGCGCCCGACGCCGCCGGGATGCTCGCACCCACCCCCGGGCTGCGCACCCCTGCGGAACCTCGCCCTAAGGAGCCGAGGGATCGCGGCGGGTGCAGAGCGGAGCGGATAGCCCGGCTGGGTTGTGGCTGGGAGATAAGCGGGCGGGTCTCGGGGTGCTGCTCGCGGAGGCGGCGGCGGCGGCTTGCCCTGTCATCTGTCGCGTGGACTCCGCACTTGCACCAGACTTGGTTGGTATCGGGACGGCTTGGGAGTGCAGGTCATCTTTCTCTGCCTCCAGACTGTGCACCGATTCCACGATTATTAAAGGATGTCAACCTAGAGTCGGTACTAGCAGCTCTCCTGGACGTTAGGAAGAGATGTAGGCAAGAGTATTGGGGTGAACAATCCTGATTTTTTTTTTTGTATGGGATGGGAGGAACGGAAGTGCTCTAGTGTGGCATCATTATTCATGCGGTCGACTATTCTTTCTGGTTTTACCATTTTGAAAAAACACTTTTGGGAATTCTCCGGCGGGCCAGTGGTTAGGATTTCGCGCTTCCGCTGCAGGGGGCCCGGGTTCAATTCAGTCCCAGGCCTGGGAACTAAGATCCCGCGTGCTGCCGGGCCAGAGGAGAAAACAGCAACAACACTTGTATTATTTGTTTAGAGGTATATTTGAAGCTGCGAATTCCATTGAGTGGGGCCTGCCAAGCCTTTCCACACCACTGTTTACCCAGCGATTTAGTAAATTTAGATTTCTTTTATTAACAGTTAAATAGAGCTTTGTATATGCCACTTACTATAATTACCTCCTTTAATATTCGTAGTTACCCTATGAGGTAGGTACTGTTAGCCACTTTTTACAGATGAGGAAACAAACCAGAAGAGGTGATACTTTGTCCCAGGACACATTGCTGAGAGGTGGCAGTTAGGATTTGAACCCCTAGGCATTCTGCTCTGAGAGTCCCTGTGCCTAATTGGTATGCTGCTGCTCTAAAACTCCTCTCTGAAATTCCAAAATTCGGGCAGTCGGCTGTGGGTGTGTATCTGACCTTTGCAAAACCAGTGTCTGATATTCAGGAGAGGAACTGGCTTAAACATCCTGGTAAGTGACATTCATACTTCCTAGACCAGGTGCAGTCCAGATAGGCAGTGAATCTTCCCTTTTCTGCTGGAGTGTTTTCATACTGAAGTTGAGTGAACAGCGTCACAGTTCCCATCCTCACAGAGCTCAGCGGCTGGTGGTGGTGATGAGGGGGAATACAGAGAGATCAGCCACTACATTGTAATGTGATAAAGTCTGTGAAGGCTGGATTGGGATTGCTGTAGTGCCGGTTATTGTAGGCTGTGAGGGGATGGCCAGGACTTCCTGGGTAAAGTGAATTCTAAGCTGATAAATGAAAGTGAGCTGAATTAGCTAGTGAAGCACAGAGAAAGCATCAACAGCATGTGTAGAAATCCAGAGACGAGGGTGTGATGAGCAGATCAGGAAACCTCGGGTAGTTAAGGATAGCTAAGAGCATAGGCTATGGGGAGGGAGGGGAATGATGGTCAGTAGGGGCCAGAGCTTAAAGATCCTTGTGTCAGCCGTGTTAAAGAATCTGGATTTTTTTTTTTCTTAATGAGAACAGTGGGGGAGGCATGGAAGTTTTTTTTTCTTTAATTTATTTATTTTTGGCTGCATTGGGTGTCTGTTGCTCCACATGGGCTTTCTCTAGTTGCGGTGAGCAGGGGCTACTCTTCGTTCCTGTGCGCAGGCTTCTCATTGCGGTGGCTTCTCTTGTTGCGGAGCACGGGCTCTAGGCGCATGGGCTTCAGTAGTTGTGGCTCGTGGGCTCAGTAGTTGCTGCACGTGGGCTCTAGAGCGCAGGCTCAGTAGTTGTGGCACACGGGCTTAGTTGCTCCGGGGCATGTGGGATCTTCCTGGACCAGGGCTCGAACCTGCGTCCCCTGCATTGGCAGGAGGATTCTTAACCACTGCGCCACCAGGGAAGCCCCGCATGGAAGTGTTTTAAGCCAAGGCATATCATGATTATACTTGCCTTTTAATAAAATAATAATTGCTCATATTTATTGAATGCTTACTATTTACCAGGCCCAGTCCAAATGGCTTTATGTGTATAAACTCATAGCTCTGTGAGAGAGGTCCTGCTGTTACACCCCTTTTATAGATGAGGAAACTGAGGCAAAGTAAGGTTCAGTACCTTGACTAAGTTCATACAGTCAGTAAGTGGCAGGCCTGAGATTCAAGCTAGCTGTGGTGTGGAGAATGGAGAACAGCCAGACCGGAAGTGGAGAGAGCAGTTAGGCAGTGGCCCTTGTAACCCAGGAGGGAGGTGATGATCTCCTGCACGGGGACATGGCAGTGGGCATGGATTATGTGGAAGGATTTCAGAGTTCGTTAGGAGGAAAAAAGACTAGCTGATTGGTAGGTGAGGTTGTCCAGGCAGTGAGTATAAACACATCTTTCAAGAGTTGGGCTTTGATGGGTTGAAGCGGGGCAGAGGCTGTAAGGGGGGAGAGAGAATGAGGGAGGGTTTTTTTTGTGTGTATGTTTACATACACTCACAGGGGCGTTGGGAGAGGCCTACAGAAGAGGATATAAAAACATTTAATGGTATAATTATTTCCTTAAAAATTATGTACCTTTTTTCTTTGCTTCTGTTTGATCTTTATAGGATGAAGTTGCCATATGCCCTTATGATTCCAATCATCACATGCCTAAGTCGTCTCTAGCAAAGCACATGGTATCTTGTAGATTGAGGAAACTGGGCTATACCAAAGAAGAAGAGGTACCATATATCTATTATGTGTATGTTGTGTAATTCATGGCTTAATACATTCACAGTATTTGGAAGGTACAGTGTGATGTTTTCTGACAAAATAATAGTCATTTGAGGGGTGCAATGGTACTTGCCTCATTTTTCAAATTATTGCAAGAAATGTTTAAATGATATTAATCTATTGTTGGTTTATCTCAAATCTTAAAATAGTCATATGATACTGAAAAACACTAAGATTTTGTTTTTTTTATTGTTTAGGGTAAAATGTATAATTCTGACTTTTTCTATGAGAATGCGAAGATACCTTCAGTTACCTTGAGTAAGTATTAATATAATTTAAAAATATCTTAGTGTAGCTGTACCTGTATAGGTATTGATATTTCTTTTTTTTTTTAATTTATTTATTTTTATTTATTTTTGGCTGCATTGGGTCTTCGTTGCTGCATGCGGGCCTTCTCTAGTTGTGGCGAGCGGGGGCTGCTCTTCATTGCGGTGCATGGGCTTCTCGTTGCAGTGGCTTATCTAGTTGTGGAGCACGGGCTCTACGCGCGTGGGCTTCAGTAGTTGCGGCTCGTGGGCTCTAGAGCGCTCTGTAGTTGTGGCGCACGGGCTTAGTTGCTCCTTGTCATGTGGGATCTTCCCAGTCTAGGGACCAAACCCCTGTGCCCTGCATTGGCATGTGGATTCTTAAACTCTGTGCCACCAGGGAAGTCCTAATGTTTCATTTTTGAATTATCAAAAGAATGGACTTTATAAGTATACTTATGGTTGATTAAGAAGGGTTTTCTTTTTTTTTTTAAGACTTTTTTTTTTTTGATGTGGAATGTTTTTTAAAGTCTTTATTGAATTTGTTACAATATTGCTTCTGTTTTATGTTCTTTTGGTTTTTTGGCTGCGAGGCATGTGGGAATCTTAGCTCCCCAACCAGGAATCGAACCCGCACCCCCTGTATTGGAAGGCGAAGTCTTAACCACTGGACTGCCAGGAAAGTCCCAAGAAGGATATTTCCTATAGTGACACTAGTTTGCTCAATCTGAAATTTAGAGACCAGGCTTATAATAGGCAATGAAAATCCTCCAAAGCTTTGTACAATAGGACAGATGCCTTCCTTCTTGATTATAACAAAAATCTGGCCACACACATAATTTGACGATAGAACTGAGGATGGAAATGTGTTCCAAGTGTTCACAGCATACATAGAGGTTAAAATCTTGGACTTTGGAATCAGAATGCCCTGAGTCAAGTAATTTTGTCACTAATAGTTGTGTGACTTTCAGTAAGGTAATTAACCTGTTAGTTGCCTAAATTTCTCTATAAAATGAGGATGATGATAATAGCACCCTTGTGAGGATTAAATGATGTAATGATATATGTAATATGGTTAGAATACTGCCTGGCACTTAGCTGGGATTCAAGAAATGTTAGATATTATATTGGTTGATAAAATTTGTAGCAGCTACTGCTGCATGCTTGGTTATAGTGTTTTCTGAATTGCTTCAAGTCTGGTTACTTACTGGATTCTAGGTAGATCTGAAAGAATTCTGCATTCACAGTACCTTGGCAGCACTGTGGGTGTTAAGATTCTGGAAGGTTTCTCAATGTGCCCAAGGAGCTTGGATTGGAACCCAGTTAATTTCATTGTGGACACTGACGATTCATATTGTATTTATGGATTTTTTTGACAGATAAGGACTCACAATTCCAGATAATTAAACAAGCTAGAGATGCAGTTGGAAACGATGGTGATTATTATAATCAAAGTAAGTGGCATCAAAGTTTGAACTAATTAATAAAACTGTTTTTCTTCCATAGCACATGTTACTAATTTTCAAGAGAAATCTTACGAGAACAGTTAGGAGAAAGGCTAAGTTTTACATTTGACATTAGACTCAGTGCTTGGTGTCAGCTTCATTTGTTAGATATATTCCACTGAGATACACCAATCTCACCAGAACACTGTTTTAGCTAGCGATTCATGCTTTGGAATTACCTAATAGGTGAGATTGCCTCGTAGATAATTTTTTTAAATTATGATTATTTAGTAAATAAATCCCATTGAGTAGACTGTCTCACCCTGACATTTCCCCTCTCTCTTGAGAATTAGCCCAGTGTTAAATGTAGGAATGTCGAAATGCAATGTAAGAGGAAAGGTTTGGGCTAATCTGTCCCCACAGCTACTCCTCGGTGAAGCACAAACAACGGTTTTATATACAATTTCAGAGGGTTTGTGGATCCCTGCATGCCCAGGCTGGCTTAAGAGTTTCTGCCCAGGACTTAACTTCAGCAGAGACCAGGTTAGAATTTTTAAGTTTGAGCTTCTAGGAAATTGAAAGAAACCTTAATCCTTCAAAATGATAGAAGAAAACAAGTAAATGGAGTTAACAGATTTCTGACTCTAGGTAGACCATCCAGCCAAAGCTGACTGGCTCTGATAAGAATTCTCAGTTGACTTCTTTAAGCCTCCTGAAGGTATAGCTTTCTCTGGACAACTTACCTTTTTCTCCCTCACTCTTCTTTTTAGCTTAATGATACTCACTAGCCCGTAGTTGGGATTTCTTTTCTCCTGTGTTGATGTTCAGGGTCTTAATCCCATTGTTCTAAGCCAGTATCTGGGCTTCATTTCTCTCTCAGTTGCCCTGTGGCTGCAGAAGGAAGAAGTCTTCTTAGTCTGCATTAGATTGGTTCCTCGTAACAGCCAGAAGCATATTTCTTGTATTTCCTGTTTTGAAGATACCATTTAGTACTTTTTGTGCTACATTGCAGGTTTTATTCTTTGAGGGAGACATTTGACTCTCATCTTATTTGAAGAGATTAGTGAGCTATAGTCAGTCAAGCCTTTTTTGACCCCTGTTCAGTTAAGTGAACCAATTAAAAAAATAAAGGATTTTGGTTGTTTTTTTTTTTTTTTTTTTGGGGGGGTTTTTTTTTAGTTAGAGGACTTTTTTTGACCTTAGCTAATTAGATAGATTTACTGAATTTATTTTAGAGTTGAAAGAGAACTTGGAGATAATCTAATCCAGCTTCTGCTTTTTACAGATCAGGAAACAAATCCTGTCTGATAGAGATGATAAAGTTCTCAGTGCTTTTATATTTTAGAAGAGAGTTTTTTTTTTTCCAAAGCTCTCTTATTCATTTCATTTCCCTTTGACAACAAACTTGTGATAGGTTGAACAAGTATTTGCTCTTTCATATTAGATGAAGAAATAGAGGCACACAGAAGTGAATTAACACCCCTTTGCTATAATATAGGAAAGCTGGATTGAGAGCCAAGTTCTGAATTTTGCAGATTTGCACATTGAGTTTAATTCTTTACAAAAGCAAATAATTACTTTGAATGAATAGTTCTTTCAATAGATAGTTAAGAGGAACTTCTATTTGACTTTGAATTATTGTATTTTCTTAAATTAAGACTTAATTGTTAAGAATAACATGTTATATGATCTGTAACCCTCTTTTTAAAACTTTTTTTCATCTGTGTTAGAGTTCTGCAATTTCTCAATAGAGATTAATTTTTGTGGTGCACGTATGTCTTACACATCTAAAATTTTTTACCCCAGAATGAAAATCTCTTTAATACTTTCTTATTGATGTTTACTTTGAAGGAAGAATAGCTAACATTAATAGTTTTACATTTTCCATTTCATTAATGTTTTGTTTGTTATGTACTAAATTGTCAGTTTTTTATGTTTTCCTTTCATCAGTCACATCAGGTCTAAACTCAAGGTATAGAGTTCTCAATTTGTTAATCTTTGTCAAAGCTTGAACAGCCATTAGATCTACTTATTTATTTTCAGATATAGTTACTTTGGTTAATTTTATAACCAAGATACTAATTTCAGTCATAAACAATCATTTTATATAGTTGGTGGTTTATCTTCTTCCTTCAATATTAAAAATTCAAGTGGCTGTACTTCAGTTTCATGGCATCTGGGTGGTGGCCATGATCTGAGCGTCAGTGTACTACGGTAAAGAACCCCAAAGAGACAAGAGATTATAGTTCTAGACCTGATCTGTTCCTACCACTTGTGAGATGTTGGCAAATCGTTTTACTTCCAAGGACCTCATTTCTTCATCTCCAGTGTTAGGAAATTGACTCTGTATGAATTCTTCGCAAAATTCTGAATTTGTACCTTTAACACGAGTTAATGTTTAATATTGTTAAATATATTATTATTTAATATTAATATTTATTATTAATATTTAATATTGTATCTCACACGTTTGAGATGCCCTGTGTTGGCAGAAAGGACTAACACAGAAGAATGAGAGTTCAAGTTATTGAAAAAGTAGATTAGAGTTTCAGTTTGGGATGATGAAAAAGTTCTGGAGATGGATAGAAATGATGGTTGCACAACAGTATGAATGTACTAAATGCCACTGAACTGTACACCTGAAAATGGTTAAAATGGTAAATTTCATGTGTATATTTTACCACAGGTTTTAAAAACTACTATAAAAAAAAGGTAGATAGAGGGTCACAGAATTAGTATGATTCCAGCTCATTCAGCTACACCTCTAAATTGTATAGAAACTGGGGTTTGAACTTTTACATTTTGTGGAAATGCAAGCTTATTTAAGTGTGTTTATTTTTTTTTTTTTGTCAGAAATATCTATGTTCTGAATGATTTGAATGCAGCTTGTTTAACTTTTCCTGTACTTTTTCTTTTTCAGTAATTGGGGTGAGTATAAAGAGGAATTAGGAACCTGAATGTACTCCTTATTTAAAGATATGCAGTATCCTTTTTGCAAATGATATCCTTTTAAAAGTATCACTCAAATTTCTAAACTTTATCTTAATCACTGTCACAATATTATAGTCTTGATTTGGAATTTTAGTTGAATTTCAAAGAATTTAACTATCAGTCTTGACCATACAGAAATTTAAGAGGAATAAAGAAAACTCCAAAATATTTTAAGGAGGAAATTATACTTCTTTGTTTAAAAAGAGCAGAGAGAGGTTTATATGGAGCTTGTTTATAATACATCAGTGTTTTCTAATCTTTTGTATTTTTCTCCTAGAATATATAACCTATATTCAGATAAATTCGGTTTATCAAAGCCATCTATAAAATTAAATGTTTTAACATCTGGCTTTCCCTAGCGTCTACCAGAATTAGAGTAAAATTGATTGAAAAGGAGGGAACCCTCCTTCCGCACTAATTCAGAAGCCTTCTGCTAGTACAGATGCTTATCTGTAGCTGTTACACCACGGACTCAGATTCAGTGTAGCTCTCCTCTTAATTTGTAGACAAATGTAAAGTCATCTCTTTTCTTGTGTTGTAATGCTTAGTTCATAGGGTGCTCTCATTTGAATTTTTGTTTTGCCTCTTTACCTAGGAAGTCAGTGAGATTAAACTTTATCAAATATAAGTATTTGAGAAGAGCTACTGATTTTACATTGTTCTGTGAACCTAAGTTATTACTTTAGGGTAACTAGCAAACATTAAAAGGATTCCTTTAGTAGCTCATGTTCTTTGTTTGCATTTGTGAATAATGAAGTCTAGAAAGAATCATTTTAAATTGCTTTATTTACAGTTACAGTAATTTTTTTGTTTCTTTGAGAAAATTTGAATCTCAAAACAAATTTTCTTCAATGTTTAATACATCATATCAAGGTATTGTATTTACTTTTTTTCATTAATGAGCAGATTTTAGAAAGTTCTATGACTTTGGTGGGGGGGTATTGTTAACGTTTTTCACTTAATTTGGTGAAGTCAATATGCTGCTGCTTCCGAAAATTACATCAGGGTTAGTCTCAGTCTGTCTTTCTCTGGTCTTTCTTGGGATTTCTGCTACTTAACTGCTTCTTGGTCCCTAGCTCTAAGTCATTGCACAAGTGGGATGTATTTTGACTATGGAACATCTAGCTTGATGTCTCTCATAAAAAATGATATTTTTTACACATTTTTCATATTTCTATAATTTATCTTCAAAGGGACTGTAATGTGTATTACCTATTAAAAACATTTTTTCCCAGCTTTTATGGGGAAAAGCATATAGACGGAAAGAAAATTAATATCTACCTTTACAGTATGGGTAGCCTTTTAAAAGTTTTTTTTCTTAGCAAATTGTCTCATGGTTATTACTGCCTGCCTTCATGGGATCTGTCTTAACATTGTTGGAAAGAATAGCAAACGTCCACAACAGCAAACATTCTGTGGATGTAGCATTCAGAATAGAGTCAGTGTTGACCGTTATCACACAGATTGATGTTTTGTATGTTTAGGGAGTACTATGAAAACAGATTGCTTGTGTTAATTTAATGTTGCATTATTACAGCGCATGTTTAAAGATAAGTACAGTAGATCATAAATCCACAAAGCTTCATGTATTGTTTATCCTTGTGATTTTATTTTTACTCTAGGGATGTATTCTTCATTGCCTGTTGAAGTTCCTCTGAATCACAAACGGTTTGTTTGTGATCTAACCCAAGCCGATCGTCTTGCCCTCTATGATTTTGTAATCGAGGAGACAAAGAAAAAACGCTCAGATTCTCAAATTATTGAAAATGACAGCGATCTCTTTGTAGACTTGGCTGCCAAAGTCAATCAAGGTTTGAGACGAATATCATAGTTTTCTATTGCTTAATTGTCATTCCATCCTTTGAGTGTTATTAAGATGACTTGTCAGGCCACTTTGAGTTGGAATAGGATGGTTTTGTATCATCTGTTATTCACTTATATATTAAGATGTTTACTTAGTACTTGAAATTTTGCTCTCTGATTGTTACATTAAGCATACCTTACTTCTGTAAGAATGTTCCTTGAGCTGGGCTGTTACTTTAATCTCTGTACCTAAGCACTGTTATGTTCAATTAATGGTTAGAGAAAAGGAGTGATATAAAACTTAGTCCACTTATATAACAGAATTTTCAGAATATTTTTGAGTGCTATATTATTACAATACATTAAAGCATGTTGAAATATTGGATGATTATGGTGTTCCTTCCCACTGATTCATAAGAATTTATAGCTTCTGAGGATGTAATAATTTTATTTTGTTCTTTTATTAGATAATAGTCGAAAAAGTCCAAAATCTTACCTTGAAATCCTGGCAGAAGTGAGAGATTATAAAAGAAGACGCCAGTCCTATAGAGCTAAGAATGTTCACATAACCAAGAAATCATATACTGAGGTATGTTTTGCATAATTGTATGGAGCTTTGTTGAACACAGAGATTTCCCTTAGATACTTGTCCTCTGTCCCGTGGATTTCCACAGTTCCTTAGAGGTTTTCTGAGCGGAAGTGGCTCCACAGTGGCCACACCTGCTTTGTATTTGCTCCATCACTCTCAGACCCACCCTTTACCAGACAAAGGCTTTTCAGGGTAAAAAGCCCTTCTATAAAGAGGTTGTGCAGGGCTTCCCTGGTGGCACAGTGGTTGAGAGTCCACCTGCCGATGCAGGGGACAAGGGTTCGTGTCCCAGTCCGGGAGGATCCCACATGCCACAGAGCGGCTGGGCCCGTGAACCATGGCTGCTGAGCCTGCGCGTCCGGAGCCTGTGCTCCGCAATGGGAGAGGCCACCACAGTGAGAGGCCCACGTACAGCAAAAAAAAAAAAAAAAAGGTTGTGCAGTCTTACAAAAACACTGCTTTTGAGAAAGTGGTATTACATCATGATGAGAACGTAGATTTTGGCTTTAGACAGACCTGGGCTTGAGTTTTGATTCTGCAATTTATCATTGGCTCTTTGACTTGGGCAAATTATTTGAGCTTTTCAAGATTGAGATTTTTTCATTTTATAGTAATACAGACTGCAGGGTTATTGTGAGAAGTAATTAAAATAATGCTTATGGACAAAGAAATTGTTCAGTGAATATCTTTTTTGGCAGAAATTTTAGTGTGCGTTTATGTACTTTACTAAACATTTGGGCTTAAGAAATGTCTTGGTATAAATTACTTGTAATTTATATTATAAAATAATTTTGTGTATATTATAACATTTAAGTACATTAACCTCTTGATGTATATCTAGACTTATTTTCAGATGTCATTTAGTGGGTAGAGTTGATGAATTTTTGGTACACGAATCACCTTGCCTAAACACTGTAAATAATTTCCTCATTGAATCTCTAATTGTTCCCATGTTATTTCTTCCTTCCTTTTATGATTTCAGAGACCTTCCATAATCTGGCCTCATTTTACCAAGCATTTTCTTTTGCTTTAGTCAAGCATGTCTGTTAAAGTGTATCTGATCACACGTATTTATTCTTACCTCAGTATCCTAATACATGTTGTCTCATCTGCGGTGCCTTTTGTTTTGCTGTTTAGAAACTTGATGCCCACTCACTGTTTCCATGAGGTGTTGATGCCTCTGAGCCATCTGTTGCCTTGCTGCACTCATGGCTCTGTACCGACAGCTTAGCACTTGGTTTTATGCTGTGCTTTTTACAATTAAAGTACATGTTTTAGACTTAGCTTACTCAGGCATCGCCCTGGTGAGTCTTACAGTCCCTCAAATCCTTGGTGGTTCAACACTTGTTTCTTCTTTGGTCTCATAACCTTGAACTCAAGTATAAGTGTCGTTGCTAAGTGCTCTTTACAATTTTATGGTTAACTTTTTTTTTTAAATAAATTTATTTATTTAATTTTTGGCTGCATTGGGTCTTCGTAGCTGTGCATGGGCTTTCTCTGGTTGCAGCGAGCAGGGGCTACTCTTCGTTGCGGTGCACAGGGCTTCTCAACTGCGGTGGCTTCTCTTGTTGCGGAGCATGGGCTCTAGGTGCATGGGCTTCAGTAATTGTGGCACGTGGGCTCAATAGTTGTGGCTCGCGAGCTCTAGAGCACAGGCTCAGTAGTTGTGGTGCACGGGCTTAGTTGCTCCGCGGCATGTGGGACTTTCCCGGACCAGGGCTTGAACCCGTTTACCCTGCATTGGCAGGTGGATTCTTAACCACCGCGCCACCAGGGAAGTCCCTGAGCAGCTCTCTTATCAGAAATTCGGTACTTAACTCTCTGTAGGTGATTCGGGATGTGATCAACGTTCACATGGAGGAACTCGGCAGCCAGTGGCAGGAGGAGCAGGAGAATGCAGAGGACGATGCGGAGAAGTATGTCAGTGCGTCAGTTGGTGAAAATAGTTCTGTTTTTATTCTGTCACCTGTAATCGTTCAACTGAATTTTAGCACCTCCAAGACCATTAGTAGCACAGTGTAATTCATCAGAACGCTTATTGTTCTTTATTTTACCACAGTTGTGAAACATACCATTAAGAGCTAAGTTTCTTTGCCTGCCCTCTTATCTGGAGTGCAGGGTTATACATATTTAGTCTCTATCTGTCACTGGTCTAATACAGAATATTGAGCTTTAGGCTGGTCTGTACTGGAGACCATAGTTAAAACTGTTTAATGTTCTTTCTGTTTCAGGAATGAAGAAAGGCGGTCGGCTTCAGTAGACTCACGGCAGTCTGGGGGAAGCTATCTGGATGCAGAGTGTTCACGACATAGAAGGGATCGGAGTAGGAGCCCACATAAACGCAAAAGAAACAAAGATAAGGACAAACACTGGGACTCAAGAAGAAGGAAAGAGAGGTAAGCCCAGCACTGCGTCATTCGCTGTCGAATCGTTGATGTGTGAGAAGCAAAAGGCCCTCCTGTCATACGTAGGCCATGCTGAGAACATGGCTTGTAAATAAGTTAAGGTGAGGAGGGTAAGCAAGTGATGAAGGTTCTTAACATTCATCCTGTTTCAGTTCAAATATCCACAGCTCTACCTGCCTGATTGGTATGGTTTCCCTTTTTTATTACTTGTTTCCTCACCAGGAGATGGGAAAGTAATGTCTAGGTAGAAAGTTAACCATGTTAAAAAGGTGTTTGCCTAGATCTTTCTTCAGTCCTTTCTGTGTCCCTCCCTCCCTTTCTTGTTTCTCTTTCTCATCCTTTCTTTCTCTTGCTAATTCATCACATAAAGGATGTTATAAAGTCAGAGAGAAGGTCTAAGCTTTAATGGCAGTCAGTTTTTCCCTTGTTGGTATTCCTGATAAAATTTTGAAAGCTGGGGAGATATAAAGTAATACTGAAATAGTGAATTCAAATTGACCAAGGTCTGTTCCTGTATCGAGCTGCTTACTGGGCATCTACGTGGATCTCAAATTTGTCAGGTCTACGCCTGAACTTGACTTTTTCTTGGTCTGCTCCTCTTCCGCCAGTACTCCTGTCCTGGTTAATGGGCGGCCATCATCTGTTCACCTAAGCCAGCAGTCGAGGACTCATGCTAGAAGCTCCCTTTTACTCCTTACCATCTGGTCCTAGTCGTCAGTTTTGTGTGAAGATGCCTCACATGCACCTCCTCTCTCTGTCCTTAAGGCTGTCATCTGGAAAACGATGGCTGTGTTCCTCATTGTTCTCTCTGTAGGCTTGTCCCACATGGATCCATCCCCGCCCTGCTGCCAGAGTGGACTTGCACCTCTTAAAACTCCTCAGTGGTAGAGTTCACGTTCTTCGGAACAGCTCTCGAGACCTCCAGGAGCAGGGCGCCTGCCTACCTACCTTGTATTTGCCCCTGCCCCGTGAACTACACAACTTCTGCTCTGGCCAGCCCGGATTCCTCACAACTCCCCATCCGCACTGGGCCTCGTCCGTGCCTTTCCACCTCATGTTCTGCTGCCTGGTTATTGTTGTTGTTGTTTTTAAATATTTATTTATTTATTTGTTTGGTAGCACTGAGTCTTAGTTTCGGCATGTGGGCTCCTTAGTTGCAGCTCGCTGCCATTCGAACTCTTAGTGGCGGCATGCACATGGGATCTAGTTCCCGGACCAGGGACCGAACCCGGGCCCCCCTGCATTGGGAGCGTGGAGTCTTACCCACTGCGCCACTGGGGAGTCCTTTAAGCCTTCGGTAAACTCATCCTTTAGGACTCAGCTTAGTCATGTCCATGAAGCCTTTTTCACTCATTCAGACAGAGCTGATCTTTCCCATTTTGTTACCGCTCTACCCAGCACCTACTTTTTATTGAACGTAAGTTATTTCTCTCTCTACTAGACTGAGCTCTTTGAAAGCAGGTCCATGTCTTAAATTTAGTATTATTTGCACAGTGCTTGTCTAGCAATAGGCTTTTTTTTTTTTTTTTTTTTGCAGTACGCAGGCCTCTCACTGTTGTGGCCTCTCCCGTTGCGGAGCACAGGCTCCGGACGCGCAGGCTCAGCGGCCATGGCTCACGGGCCCAGCCACTCTGCAGCATGTGGGATCTTCCCGGACCGGGGCACGAACCCGTGTCCCCTGCATCGGCAGGCGGACTCACAACCACTGTGCCACCAGGGAAGCCCTAGCAATAGGCTTTTAAATGACACCTCTCCAGGGCCAGTGGCGATCAGGATATTAGTAAGGCTTACTGGTTTAATAATTTTGCTCATCTTATTATCATTCAGTTCATAGAGTTAAAGCTAGCTATGATTTAGTCCTCTTATAAAAATGAAATATTTGCTTAGTAAACCCTTTTGATTCATTTAATGCATGATAATCTGTGATAATTATGCACACGTTAACTTTTTTTTTAATATATTTATTTTATTTATTTTTGGCTGCATTGCGTCTTTGTTGCTGCGAGCAGGCTTTCTCTGGTTGCGGCGAGCGGGGGCTACTCTTCGTTGTGGCGCGCAGGCTTCTCACTGCGGTGGCTTGTTGCAGAGCACGGGCTCCAGGCGCACGGGCTTTAGTAGTTGTGTGGGCTCAGTAGTTGTGGCACACAGGTGCAGGTGCTCCGCGGCGTGTGGGATCTTCCCGGACCAGGGCTCGAACCCGTGTGCCCTGCACTGGCAGGTGGATTCTTGACCGCTGTGCCACCAGGGAAGCTCCTGCACACGTTAACTCTTGATTAGCTATATCAGAAACGTGCTGTCTCACTGCTTCTGGTTGTCAGTGCTTCTTCCACTTAAGTAATTTTTGACATGTCCAGTCAGTCCCTGTTGACTTACATATGTTAGATAACCTCAAAATCTAAACATGAGTAACCTTCCTTTAGAGAGGATAAACTGAGTATTAGCAGGAAACACTACTCACTAGGATAGTCTTTGAGGGCCACCCTTGAGAGGGAATGAATTGTGGGAGCTGAGATGGGGGCCAGGGTGAGTAGATCAGACATCTGAACTCCTCCTATGACTCCAGCATCCTGTTTGCAATGAACTCTCAGGTCATCGACCGGGTACATATAGTCAGAGTTAATTTTAAAGTGTAACTCCAAAGCGCAGGTAAAAAAAATCCGTTTTCCTTATCCCCATCTCAATTTTGTCCTGTAGTTTTAATGATGCATTTTTTATATCTACTCCTAAGAAAAGTCACTGTTCAGTTTTAAGGGCATGTTTTAACTTGTTCTGGTTTATATCTGATGTCAGTATATTACTGTGAATTATTATTTTAAAGCTTTGATATTAAAGTGCCTGTCATTTATAATTTTTTTTTCACCCCTTTCATTTCAGGGATGGGGAAAGACATCATAGTCATAAAAGAAGAAAGCAAAAAATATAAACGAAGTATTTGTGCGTGTATTAATTATGCTCATGCTGTGGTAACCAGCATGCTGATATTTTCATCATATGCTGTGAGTAGGAGAATGTGCTTATATGAACTGTTCAGTGCTCAGATCATTATTTTTCAACCAATACTTATATCTCAAACCATGAGTACATTGATTATGCCCTGGAACTTTGTTTTCCTTATATTTTAATGGATGATTGCCTCCTATTACTGATTTTGTTTCATTCTTTTTTTGATAATTTATGTATCAGAAAATTATTTAATTAAAGTGAATATTTAAACTACATAATACGTAAATGCATTCTTACTGTAAAAAATTAAACCTTGGGCTTCCCTGGTGGCGCAGTGGCCGATGCAGGGGACACGGGTTCGTGCCCCGGCCTGGGAGGATGGAGCGGCTGGGCCCGTGAGCCATGGCTGCTGAGCCTGCGCGTCTGGAGCCTGTGCTCCGCAACGGGAGAGGCCACAACAGTGAGAGGCCCGCGAACCGCAAAAAAAAAAGAAAAAAAGAAAAATTAAACCTTACAGATAAGGCTAAGGAACGCTTGGAGCACCACCTTGTGATCCCTGTGGCCACCCCAGGGGGTAACCACGGGTGAACTGTAAAAGGGAAAAAAAAACCCAAATATTCATCAGAAGGGGAAAGGCCTGGCTAAATAAAATGTGGTACAGTCACATGATAGATTACTATATTGGATTTAAAGAAATAAACTGTATTATCATGAATAGATCTCAGAGACATGCTAAATGAAAATAAACAAGTTTCAGAAACATATGTACAAGTTACATCTATGTACAAAACAATACTGTACATCTTCTCTGGCTGTATATGTATGTAAATATATTTTTAAAGGTTCAGAAGAACTCATCCCAGACTCCCAACAGTGATTATTTGAGGGAGGAGGTATAAATGGGAGAGAGAAAGGATGGAAACCAGGATTGGGAGGGTGGTCAAAGGGAACTTGAGCTTTATCCATTATGCATTAATTTTTAAAAAATAAGGTAGCACTTGTGTTTCACTTGTTAATTTAAAATATACTGTCGTTTTGTTTTTTGTAAATAAAGTTGATTGAGGTACTCTTTACATACAGTAAAATACATTCATTTTGAGTGTACATTTCATTGAGTTTTGACAAACTTATACCCCCCCCCACCATGTATTCTTCATCTCAGTCAAGATAGAGAACATTTCCATCTCCCTCAGAAGTTCCCTTATACCCCTTTTCCCAATCAGTTTCTCTACCACCAGCCCTAAACAACCAGAGATCTTCTTTTTGTTACTGTTGATTAGATGCATCTTTTCTAGAATTCATGTAAGTGGAATGCTACAACACAGTACTTGCCTCTTCACAGACTGATCCATGTTGTGTGTGTCAGTAGTCTGTTCCTTCTCGTTGCTAGTAGTATATAGTATAGTCTGTTGTATGCCAGATTGTTCAGTTGAAACTTTGGCATTAAATGTTAAACGTCTCATGTCTGAAGAGCAGTATCTGCGAAACCCAGGTTAAGGATTCCAAGGTGGGTTCCAAATAGAAAGGAAACCTTGATTATGTGACTAAGTAACTGACAACGCCAGCAAGGTTGACTGGTTTTAGATCAGATTGGCTGCTAGGTTCAGGTGTGGATGAAGCTCTCCAATTTATAAGGTGAGAATCAACGGGTCGCTTGCCAGTATGAAGCCCTATTAGTGCCGTTGTACTTAATTTCTAAGTATATAAAATTCAGATTGAAAAGTCTTAAAAACAAGGACTTTGGAGTTACCATAAAGTTGAGCCATATGAAATTGCTGCTTTTGTAGGTCAAATCCATTTGAATGATCAGCAGTTTCATATAGTATAACTTAATTTATAATATTGTTTTTCGTTATGATTTCAATGACTTTACTAACTAGAAGATGTACTTGGGCTTTTAGTAGGAGAGAGAGAAGGGGAAAGGAATAGGGTGGTGGGATTGGGGAAAAATAGGATAGTGTTTCTTTAATGTCTTGCTAGGTTCACTTGTTTGCAAAAATTTGCCAAATTTTTGTTAAGCTGTCTCCGTTCATGAGGTATATTGGTCTGTAGTTTACTTGTAATGTCTGTCTGGGTTTTGGTATCAAGATAATGATGGCTGGGAAAGTTTCCTTCCTCTTTTATTATCTGGAATTGTGAATAATTGATACTTTTCCTTTTAAAAAGGTATTTGGTAGAATTTACCAGTGAAGCCATCTGGGACTGGAGTGTTCTTTGTGGGAAGGTTTTTATCTATGAATTTAATATACTGAATCTATTTCAAGGTATCTGTTTCTTCTTGAGTAAACTTAAATAGAAAAAGAGATTGAATTAAGCCCACATTAAGCAGAAGGAAGAAAACAATAAAGAACATGAATCAGTGAAATAGGAAACTGGAAAGCAATAGAGTGAAAGAAACCAAAAACTGGTTTTTCAGAAAGGTGAATAAACTTGATAAGCCTCTAGGCAGATGACTCTAGTCAGGAGGAAAAAAAGAAAGTAATTAGTATCAAGAATGAATGTGGAGGTGTTGCTAAAGATTCTGCAGACTTTAAAATGATAGAAAGGGAATATTATGCCAGTAAATTCAACAATTTAGATGAAATGGGTAAATTCCTTGAAATACACAAATTACCTTAGTTTACTCAAGAAGAAACATACCTCAGTCAATGTAATTTACCATATTGATGTGCTAAAGAAAAACCATATGATCCTCCATAGATGCAGAGGAAACATGATAAAGTTCAATACCTATTTAGGGCTTAAAAAAAACAAAACACTCTAGGCAAACTAGAAGTGGAAGGGAACCGCCTCACCTTGCGAAGGGACATCTACAAAACATTGTAGATGTTTTAAAGTGAAGGATTGAATAATTTTTCCTATGACTGGGTGCAAGGCAAAGATGTCTGCTCTTGCCACTTCTATTCAACATTGTACTGAGGTCCTAACTGGTACAATAATGCAATAGGAAGAAAGAAAATGTGTATAGATTGGAAAGGATGAAGTAATAATTGTCTTAATTCACAGATGACATAATCACCTATGTAGAGATTTACCCCAAAAAAAACCCTACTAGAACTCATAAATTTAGCAAGGTAAATTCATAAAAATCTATTATAACTTTTATATGCTAGTAATGAAAATTGGAAATAGCATCAATATGCATAAAATACATAGGAAGAAATTTAATAAAGTATGTGTGAGACCTGCATGCTGAAAACCACAAATCTTCCTGAGAGAAATTAAAGACATAAATGAAGAGGTGCTGAAACTGAGGGTAGTCATCAGTTAGACCTATTAAACTGTAGCTTGCTTAATAAATAATGAACTGTAACTGCCTTCACTGGTCAAGCTGGCTTTAACTTTTTAAGAAAAACTCCCTGCCTTCCAAGCATCAAGTAGCCTGAACAGTAATATGTCTGCCCGAGTTGGTTTTCAGGAACTTGGTGTCAGCTGCGTCCAGTTCAAGTTCGAGCTGGTTAAGATGGGTTGGGACCCTTGAGACCCTCCAGCTGGACTTGGGTGAATGTCCAGTCGGTGACCTTTTGACGTCAGAGAGCTGAAAACTCCATCCTCAGAGCGTGTAGATGCTGCAGTTTTCTATGTGAGTCCCATGGAGAAGCCTGTAGCTTAGTGGCGCCTGCGCATAACCACGATGACCTCACCTTTTTCTTCTTGCCAGTCACCTTTCCCACGCTCCCCGTGCCTCAGCTTTATCCTGTAAGTATCCCAAGCCCTGGCCTTCAGGGAGGTGGATTTGAATTATTCTCCCGGCCCCTCGTGAATAAACCCCTTCACTGCAGACCTCAGCATCTCAGCGTTTGGCTGGCTGCGTGTCGGGCAAACAAACCTGGTTTGGTAACAGCACCATGCTCACAGGGGAGAAGATAACATGTTTAAGGTACCCGTTCTCTCTAGATTGAACAAGTTTCAATGCAATTGCGGTACATTCCCAGCAGGCTTTTTTTTTTTTCTTTAAAGCATAATGCATTTTAAAAACTGATAAAATATACATAAAATATATCGTTTTAAACAGTGTTAAGTGCACAGTTCAGTGACAGTAATAAGTACATTCACATTGTTGTGCAACCGTCACCTCCGTCCATCACTAGAACTTTTCCAGCTTCCCAAACTGAGTCTCTTGTCTCGTTAAACACTCACTCCCCATCCCTCCCCGCCCCAGCCCCTGGCAACTGTCATTCTCCTTTCCCTCGCTATGAATCTGACTATTCCAGGGACCTCACATAAGTGGAACCATGCAATGTTTGTCCTTTTGTGTTTGGCCTATCTGTCGACAAAAAAATTCTCGTGAGAGTTGTGCGTTAAGTTTTATTTGGGGCAAAATGAAGACTATAGCCTGAGAGCATCTCAGATAGCTCTGAGAAACTGCTCCAGAGAGGTAGGGGGAGAGCTCAGCGTTATATGTGATTTCAGTGAAGGGGACCCTGTGCAGTCACACATGTTGGCAGATGCTGGCTGCTGGTCACAAGGAACAGATGTCACCATGAATGACTTCAGTGCTTTTCCAAATATGAGGAAATGCAAGAATTGGGCTCATAAAATCTTCTCCTGAAAATATCTAACTATCTGAAGGCCTGTTCTGCCAGTTTTTCTCAGAGCACAGAGGGCCTCATTCCTGATCTCCACCCTGAACTCCTTTCAGGGTGTGTTGAAGGTCAGTGGCTGCAGTTGCTTGTGACCTAATCCTTGTAGAGGCAGACGGCAAGTGCCAATTTTTAGCTGGCACGCTTCACCTCAAAGTTCACCCAATGTTGTAGTATGCCAGCAGGATTTATTTTTTGATATAGAAATTGACTTAAAAATTTATATGGACACGCAGTGGATCTGAAAGAGAACAGTTTAGGGAGGAAAAAGAACAAAGTTGGAACACTTGTACTACTTGATTTCAAGATTTATTACAAAGTTACAGTAACTAAGACCTAGTGGTACTGGCACCAGGGTAGCCATGTCGATGAATAGAACAGAAAAAAAAAATCTAGA